TTCCAGCCTTAGAGCTTGATCGTGCTTGTCGAGGACAGTCTCACCTTCATCTAATTACGTAGGACTTCTCTCGAAGTTTTTAGCATTATCTATTTTCAGTTTTCAGTTTCAGTTGAACTTTTGGTTAGGGGTCCATCAGTGGATTCCCAAGTTGTAACCTTGAAGTTTTAGAGGATTGGAGTTTCAATTTTCAGTTATACATGGAGGGTTTTATTATTATTATTATTTTCAGCTTTATTCTATCTTTATTGTTTCTTTTTGTCATTTGTGTTCGTTTTTAAATACTTTAATTGTTTGATATTCCCTCGGGTTTGGGCTTGGGCCTGATCAACCCATGTCTTGAATCCGAGGGGTATCACAGGCTCTGTCTCTAAATTTACAAGGATTAGGGTTTTAGAGATAAACCTATAAATACAACCATTATGCTTTAGCCTAGGGTTTACAATCATAATTCATAATACATAAATGTGAAGTTAGTTCATAGCACAGAGGGTTGTGAACGGAGACACTGTAAGAATTGTCAAGGAGAAGAACTGTGAGTACCAAGGGAGGATTTTGGTGGATTAGACCAGAACCAGAGGAGGCTAGAAAGTAGTCAGTGGTTGCCGGAAGTTAGGAAGACGGCGACAAAGTTTTGAGTCCAAAATTGCAGGCAAGTTCTTTTCTTCCTCATTCCCTTTGGCTCGTGTTCTGTGTACCTAGATAGTCTCTAGGGTTTAACTAATTAGTAATTGAAACTTACGTGTTTAATATATGCTTTGTTGATGATCTGTTTGCCTTGAATTCAAATCTGTTTACAGTTCGTGTATGGTTGCTCCCAGTTCTGTTCATTAAAGTATGTTAAAATCTGTTGTGATTTTAGTTACGATTCTTGATTTTATCTTCTGTAAATGAACCATGGGGATGTTAATGGGATGATATAAGACTCCTAAGATCAGTTGTGAAGAGGAACAGAGGGGTTGGAATAGAACTATAGTTTCAGTTTTGTTCCTAATGCGGGTTAGTTCGGTAGCAAATTTAATCTTTGTAATTGATTTTAATTATTGTTATCAAGCCATTGGGATGCTATTGGGTATTAATATGACACCTAAGATTAGTTTTAAAAACCAACAGAGTGATAGGAATAAGCCGGAGAAGGAGCAGAGAAGCTAAAACGAAGCACCGGGGACTGAAGGCTCTCAAAAGAGGTGAGAACCGGCTCCATAGAAGTAGGAACCGACTCCCACAACAAGTAGAGCAGGCTCCAAGGAATCCTAGAGCCGGCTCTAGGCTGAAAGAGCCTGCTCCCAAAATTTGAAGCAGGCTCCCTCTTCATTTTACGTTCTGTTTTATTTTTTTATTTTTAGTTTTCTACGTACTGTGTTTTACTGTTTGGAGCATGGGTGTATCTGATTGTTTTGGGACTGTACAGAATGATTAAAAGGGTGGTTTTGGGTATCATTAAGACTATAATATAATTAAAAGTCAGTTTTAAACACTTGGTACAAACAGTGGAAAATTAGTGGTACTAGTGTACAACTTAGTACGCTGTTACCCGATAAAAAGAACTAAGTTACTTAGATTAATTTAGCAATTTATTGAACTATAATATGATTATAGAATTCATTTTAAATGCATGATAGAGTCATTGATATATTAGATTTGATCTATGCCTGCTCTGGATGCTAGTTGTGAATTATTAAACCGTTTCCAGCAATTACGTGGTTTAATTCTTGGATTTAAATTGCTGAAACTTTAATCTTCTTTCTGCAATGATTTGGATACTGGTTTTAGACTGTAAATTACTAGCCTATTATTTATGTTTTGTAATTTATATGGATATGGAGGATTGTATGCACCGGTATGGACGGTGACATACTGGGGACGGTTTAGCTCAAAACGCATAAATCTAACCTAATGGATTAATGGAATGGATTAAAAGCTTTTGAATCCTAATTGTGACTAAGTCAAATCAACTGCAACTAAGTTGGATGACTTCCTAGATTAATTGATGGTAGTTAAGTTATATCAACTGAATAAGTTGAGTGACTAACTAGTTGGTTTATTGTATGTCAGTTTAATAAATATTTGAACTACATACTCTAGTTTTGGACGGACTTTATATATATGTTTATGGTACTACGAGATGAGCTTGAGTCTCAGACTCGTTGGTTAGGGTGCGTATATGCAGTGGATGCATAGCTGGTTATAATAGGTTGAGGTGTACCCTGTTAGGTCTAGGTACTCATGCCCACCTTTAGGTGCGTTTTCGCATGTTGCCTTCTATTCAGGTTGAGACCTCCATTATAGACCAGTGAATGTCCCTTAGTGTGGATATATTTATATGTATGGACTAGATAGATATTGTGAGGTGTCTACGATGTATCCGCGTATCGGGTCACTGTATGGATTGCAGTTAGATTAGGACTTGCTCGTGGGTCTGACTCACTCCTTTATTATTCTTCTCAGGTATCGGACGGTTCCAGCCTTAGAGCTTGATCGTGCTTGTCGAGGACAGTCTCACATTCATCTATATATGTAGGACTTCTCTCAAAGATTCCAGTTTAATTTATTCTCAGTTTCGGTTTAGTTGAGATTTTCTTTAGAGGTCCACTAGTTGGATTCCCAAGTTGTAACCTTGAAGGTTTTGGAGGATTGAGTTGATATTTTTATCGTTGGAGTATTTTATTTATATTTCTTTTGGTTTTCTTTATTTAAATTCCTAAATTTCTATTCTGTGTTCGATTTAAAATACTTAAATTGTTTGAAATCCCTCGGGTTTGGGCCTGAGTCTGATCAACCCGTGTCTCGAATCCGAAGGGTATCACACTCTTCGATATGAGGAAAGGTATACTTTTGTTTATTCAAATAATTAGGAAAGGTAAATCACTAATTATATTCTATTTATAATTAAGAATTTATTTACAATATTTGTATGAAATGTGAGTTTAAAACCTTTAATAAGAAAAAAAAAAAAAAAAATGAGTTTAAAGAGTTATGGCGGTTTCACGGTAAGAAGACAGTTAATCTATTCCACGATCTAAAATGTTAATAGGTACAATTATTTGTTTTATCTATTTTTATTATTATTATTAATTTTTTTTTTTGTCAATAAGAAATTTCAATTAGCAAGCATTAATACTTGGGAAGAGTGGTTCAATTATATTAGATATGATAATAATAATATATTCTTTTATTAAATGTTATCACAAGGGCGTTACCTTCACCATAAAAAGTATAGTGATTATCAAATTATCTTCCACATGTTTACTTAGGAGAGGACGTTTTGTTTTGTTTGTTTGTTTTTTTTTTTTTTTTTTTTTTTTCTTGTTTCTTTTCGGTTGGTACTTATAGACACATGTCTCTATTAAAACTTGAATTCTTAACCTCTATTTGAGAAGTAAAAAATTGATATTATTAGGCCACTGATCACTGATCCGATGATAAGAGTGGGCATGTTGACCCTAGTTGCTTTCTTTTAGTCATGATTGGGTAGGGTTTTTTGGTATTTGTGGAAGCATCCAATATACATGCACGTCATTTTCCTCTGGGTGTGACCTAGGCTCACCATAAAGATCACCACCAATTTCTTTTGCCCAAAGCAAAAATTTTCAGGGACTTCAAACACGGCCATCAAGTTATTCCGTGTGCCTGCACTGTAAGTCATTACAGTTGTTCATATTCACGCGTGTTCCACGGAATAGACACGGATTAACAATGGGGTTATTCGTTTTTACTAAATTTTTTTGTTATTTCATTTTACATTTTCAAAATTATATTTTTTTATATTTATATTCGTAAAATTATAAAATTGTTCACACTAAAATTATAAAAAAATCCTCCTATATAAATTTATTTCCCCTCACATGAATTTCTAAATCCCCCTTATATGGATACATTATCCGAAGCACTAAATACCTACTTCGCGAAAAGCTCAAATACAAAGTAATATGGGATTCAAACTATACAATAGTGGAGTTGTATATGAGATTCAAACTATACAATAGTGGAGTTGTTGTACCGTGACACGATCACATCCATTTAGGTCCACCCAAGTAAAGATTTCTTTGAACATGTCAAATGATTTGAGATTTCTTTGAACATGTCAAATGATTTGCACTAATTCAAAAAATGTGCATCTTTCACAAATTTTGAGTGGTAGATAAAATTAGGAAAATGTTTTTCAAAATGAACATTTAAGCCAAGTGAAAAAAAAACAGAAGAAACGTCTGACACAACTATTTGTATGTATTGATATATTTTTTATAAGAATGATATTTAAGTCAATTTTTACTGGATATGAAATATATAATCTTAGTTTTTTTTTTTATTTTTTTTTAAAAAACTTTTTTATTAGGTTTTAATTTTATGTTTAATTGCATTATCTAACTGTGCACAGCCAATCATGTTAGGCTATTACCCCATCACCATTTTGAGGTAATTAGCATATTACTATCATTGCGGGATCCCGAGAGGTCAAATGTATACAGGTTTACCTTCACATAGAGTGTATTCGATTTTAAACTCGTGAATTCCTAGTTAAAATGAAACAACTTTATCAATGCGCCAAGACCAACCATCGAAATACTAATATATATGATGTAGATTTATTTTTAAAATATGAGTAATAAAATAAAGAACACAAAAACAACTTATTTTTGGGAGTTAAATACAATGAACTCCCTTACAATTTAATCAAATTACACACAAAAGTTAATTCAAGGCCCTAATTCAATACTCCTAAACCCAACATTTAAGTATTTTTTGCACATGACAATTTTGGTTTAGCATTGTCGGTAATATTGAGAAGTACTATTGCATTAAATAACTGCAGGGATGCCTTAATGCCTAATCAATGCTCATGTGTGTATATACAACAAGATAAAAAGGAAAAAAGTTCCACGTATTTGAACAGGCATATATAATAAAACAAAACTAATAACCAAAGTGGTTAGAAAATTAGTTGGCCAACCAAATATAATGGGATTCTAGATGTGACTTTGACTGAATCACCCCCACAACTCTCTCCCCCCCTCTCTCCTTTGCCAACTTGACAAAATACACTACATTCTTCTCAACCTATACAAGCTAGCTCACAGATTTCAGAAGGGAGAGAGAGAGAGGCAAAAGAAGAGCAGAGAAGGCAATGAAATGGGTTCAACAAATCCATTCAAAGATAGGCCTCAATCTCTCATAAAGAAGCTCTTTCCATGGACCTTATATGTTCTCATACCCATCGCCTTTATTCGCTTATATTTCTACCCTAGAAACCTTCCCTCCTCTTCAACAGACCAGCTTCCCCACAACAACCATATTGTCATCAAGACCTCTTCTTCTCCTCCTCCTCCGCCACCGCCACCGCCACCGCCACCGCCACCGCCTCCTCCACCTCCTCCTTCACAAGCTACGTACACACACAGATCAGGTACAACATGTTATGTCAAACCCCTAAAATAATATTACTCCTATTTTCTATTTTCTATTTTCTAACACGTATAATTGGCTAAGATAGAGTACATACCTTCGTTTCAAAGGGCCTGTAACCCAATTGTATAACTACCTCATCCTCAAAGTGGAGGCTAAGGAAAGGTTTGAGTCCGAACATGAACAAAAGTGTGAGGATGAGGAAGGGTTTGAGCCCGAACGTGAACAAAAGTGTTGTGAATACTTACTTGATAAAAAATAAAAATTATTTTGTTGTTGATGTATATAACTAACAAGATCTTTCATTTTGTTGGTATTTGCAGAAAAGGAAAGAGAAAATATTCAAATTGCATGTGACTACACAGATGGAAAATGGGTGGACACCAAGACTGGCCCTTTGTACAATGGTACAAAGTGCGGCACAATTAAGTATGGCCAGAACTGCATGAGACATGGCAGGCCAGACATGGATTACCTCTATTGGAGGTGGAGGCCCAACCAATGCCAGCTTCCCAGGTTTGATCCCAAAACTTTCCTCCAAATCCTCAGAAACAAACACTTGGCATTTGTGGGAGACTCCATGGCTAGAAACCAATTGGAGTCTCTCCTATGCATGCTATCCACCGTCTCTTCCCCTAAACTAGTTTATCGAAACGGCGACGACAACAAGTTCCGCCGATGGCACTTCCCTTCCTACAACCTCAAGATATCAATCTACTGGTCACCATTTCTCGTCAAAGGTATCGAGAAATCGAACAGTCGATACTATAACCAATTGTACTTGGATTCCGTGGATGAGCGGTGGGCGTCTGAGCTCGAAAAGATGGACATGGTTGTCCTGTCCGTAGGGCATTGGTTTCTCCATTCCGCTGTGTATTACGAAGGAGGTTCAGTACTAGGTTGTCATTTCTGTCCCGGTCAGAACCATACCGAGATCGGGTTCTACGAGGTTTTAAGGAAGGCATTAAAGACTACCCTAAAGGCCATAGTTGAAAGAAGGGGGACTAGAGGCACTGCGATTGATACAATTGTGACCACATTTTCACCACACCATTTTGAAGGCGATTGGGACAAGTTTGGGGCTTGTCCTAGGACGAAGCCCTACAAGGAGGGCGAGAGAAAAGTTGAAGGAATGGATGCAGAGATGAGAAAAGTTGAGGTTGAAGAAGTGGAAGACGCTAAGGTGGATGCTAAGCAATTTAGAAATTTGAGGTTTGAGGCTCTGGACATCACTGCATTGTCGTTAATGAGACCGGATGGTCACCCGGGACCGTATATGAATCCTTTTCCGTTTGCTCATGGAGTTTCGGAAAAAGTTCAGAATGACTGTGTCCATTGGTGCTTACCGGGACCTGTCGATGCATGGAATGAGATATTGCTAGATTTGATGAGGAGGTGGAAACTAAATTCAGTGGAGCGGCAACAATGAGCATTTATCAGACGACAGATATTGGGTGGTGATTGTTGGTTTTGTATGTTTAGGTTTTTTTTCTTCTCTCTTTCTTGAGGAAAGAACCGCGAAGGAAGAGAAAAGACAATGGAAAGAAGAATATGAGAATCTAGCTAGCTTTAATGGGGCCAAAGATAACAAACATGTCCAAGAGAGTTTTGGAGTTATGTGATAATTTGCAAAACTACAAATGGTTTTTGATGTGAAGGTTTGAAGATACTTAAGGAGCATAGGAAGTTCTTTTTAGATTGCAGAATGTAAAGGTTGTCATCTTAATTGTTTTTAAAAGTACTGTCTGCTGTTGATTTATTTGTTTCCATATATGTTAGTTTTGTTCTGATTTTTGATTCTATAGGTAGTACAGGCTCTTATGATTATAATTAACCTTATGATCATCATTATCTGTCTTGTGTTAATTTTTGGTCCTTTTAACAAACTGAATTTATGATAAGTCTTGTAAGAGAAATTTTTTTATGGCAGCGACGAATTATCCAAACCACTTTCATTGACTCTCTCTCACATACCCACACAAAATCTGTGGGTAGTTTCTTTAGTTAGGTTCATTTTTTCGTCTTTTCCACAAGTGGGGTCCATTTGAAAGCTTCTATGTTACTGGTGAATGAGGTATCCAAAGCAACTTTTTGAGCTTATTTGGGAAGATAAAGATAAAGTAATATTAATAAGGAAAATGATATTCATCATTCTTTTTAAAAATAATATATATCATAAATTTTTTTTTTTGGCACTTACTTTTATCTCATCTCACCACTTCACCATTAATTAAAATTGAATGAGAAGCTGTTTTCACACAACTCATGATTGTTTGAACCCACTAGACATTGAAAGCCAATCCTTTCATCATTTCCTCCGATAATCCGTTTAACCTTTATCAGAAGTCTTGATCATGTCAAGTTTCAAAGCAAAGAAATGAAGAAATTTATTTCTTCTAGTTATGATGTAATGAAGGACCTCATGAGCAAATATTGTCATGGATAGTTCTAGAAGGAACAAAAGCATTTTGATTTTAATTTGAAATTTAATGGAATTACTTGGAATCCAAGTTTATAATGAAAAAAGTAGTCTATTTTTTTAAGATTGTATTTGACGGCATGGAATTAAAGTTTTGGAATTCGAAAAAATTTTAGTTCAATTTTCTGAATTACCTTTTTCTAATTTTATTTCTAAAACTCCAATTCCATACCTTGCCAAACATATGGAATTACAATGAACTCCAAGAATTTACAATCAGGTTGCTTAAGACGTGGGCAAACGGTCATTTTGTTAAAAAAAAAAAAAAAAAAAAAAAAAATCACTTATTTGCCGGCAAATTTGGTTTTTCCTTAATAAAATATTGAATTTTGGATTTTTTATTTATTTATTTTTATAGAACTATGACATCGCCTATGTTTTAGATACAATAATATATGTTGTACATGAAGACTTTGATTTCTTTTTGGCTATAAATATGCATATATTTCCGTTGATTTTTTCCATTCCTTTTGGCCATTTCAGAATCTCCATTGTTAGTTATGCATTTCCAAGAGAATCTAACTGCACGCCCACTATTAATATAAGAAAAATGATAAATAAAAAATAAATCACAAAAGGGTTTATATTAACCACTGATGTCTCATCATTGATTTCAACTATCCGAAAGAAGAGAGATTTTATTTTACATGTGATTGACTAGAGTCTTATTTGGACACTGATTATGAGAGCCCCACAAAAAATCGAATTTAAGCTCAAAAGGTCACATATTATACTCATACGAAAGGTGACCTTATTATTTTTGGGACACTGTCTAAATTTGGGGACTTTTAAACATGACAAAATCATTTTTTTACAATGATTTGGCTTTTAAACAAGACAAGGTTGGTACTATATAATTTAAATTAATCTAAACAAGAGGCAGATTTAATTTTAACTAAAATTAACCTGATTAAGATCCAAGAAACTGAATGAAAACTGATAGTTTAATTGAACTAATTGGGTTGTGAAATTCGATTATAACCGAATTAATTTTAATTTTACATAAGTTTTGTCCGAATTCTATAAAAAAGTATCAAGTAAATATTTTTGTGTATTTATTACATCTTTTGATAATTGTATCACTTTGTAAATATCATAATATATAAATTAAATTGAATTTGAAAGTGCAGTTGGAAAATGATTTTCACACCAATCACACCCGAGATTATATTAATGCAAATTGAATACGAATTTGGATATTTCAATCAATAATCAAATTTTTACTTGAATGTGAAATTGGATTCATTCAACAATTGATATCAGATTGATACTGAATCTGATCATATTTGAATCAAATTCGACCAGTTGATGGTCATAATTTAATTATTTATTTATTTATTTTTCTTCTTTTTTTTTTTCAGTCAAAGGTGTGTGTTGTTGGTCATAATAAGTTCATGGCATAAAAGTTACCACATCTCCTCAAATCAAACTTGGCGACATTGACATCATCATGATAGTTCCTCGACAGGTAGAGATGTGGATTTGGCTCGAGGGTCCAAAGTCTGTCCTGGTAAGCCCAACCAAGCCAGACAAAGTCCTCGCCTTGTGTTAGGGCTTGACCAAAGTTGAACCCAACTTCAGCCGTCAGGCCAACCCAATGAAGGCTTGAATTGACAAAATATATATATATCTATATCTATATATATATATATATATATAAACAAGAAAAAGAAAAATTGTCAATGATTCTCTGGCAGTTATTTTACTTTTAATTCTCGCAGGTGGCATCTATTGGTGCATAAGATGCATATTCTTAATGTATTTAGAAAAACTTCTGTAAATTGATATAGAAAAGGTCTTATTTAAAGTAAAATTAATTTTAATTTTAAATAAAATTAATTTTAATTTTAATGGGTTAATTTGGTACTTCCAAACAATGATCCAGAACTCAAAACTCAAGAGGGGTATAGTGTGAAGTCTACCATCACCTTTCTTGTTGGGTTTCGAAATTTTAGACAGCAAATTGTTTTCTTTAAGCCTCTCTTTGTTTCGGTGTAAAATATTCTTTTTGAAAAATATTTTTCTTTTTTAAGTAATTTTTTTTTTATAAGTCTTTTTTAAATAAAATATTATTTTATTTTTACTTTTTTCGGTGTTTGGTAAAGATATACGTTAAGGTTGAGGTCGAGTTCATCAGGTTGGTATGTAAAATAAATTGCCGAAAATTGATGGATAAATTATTTTTGTTAAATTTTAATATTTTTTTCTTTCTAAATATTTTATGACAATCAAACATTATAAAATAAAAAAATATTTTTTAAAAAATATTTTAGGTCCAAACAAATGGAGCCTAAAAGTATATGTTCTTTTAGTGTGGCCACTTATGTTGGGACAGAGAACTGTGATGCCGAAGTGCAAGGGACACTTGGCAAGCTATCACACCGGCGGAGTTATGGGTTATAGGCGGAGATGTTGCTCAATTTGAACGAAGTACATGCTAGTGTTATGTTACAGGTTGCATAATTACATTGTCCTCAGGCACGCGTTAGTGCTCTTTACTAAACTTTTTTGAAAGTAAAACTTCCGTGCTTATCTGGGTCGGACAATATCATATTATGTAGCGCAGTGGGGTGTTATATATGTTGTGTTTGATGAGGTGCCAAATTTCTTTGTGAAATGATGGGATTCACAATAACAAACTCACCGCAAGAGGGCAAGGGGCAATCCAGTTGTCATAGGGTGAAGTTATCCATGCCTATGTTGCCAATATTTCCTTGCAAAGGGCTATTCAGTTGTCATCATATGGCGAAGCTACCCATGCCTATGATGTGTTTGATGAGCTGCCAAGCTCACTGGTCTCAACTGCAAAATCTTTCTCCAGGTCCACGATGCCTTTGATGCCTGATGAGGCATGTTGAGTTTCCAAAAACTCTTACCTTTAACTTTATATATATAGTTGTCAATTCACAGGTTATTGTTTTTCATAGTTGAACATTTTCCATATGAGTTTTAGGACTGCAGCTTTGTTCCAAAGCACAATGTTAGGCGAATTCATTCGGACCACCTTCAAGCTTAGGTTTGCAAATAGAACTCCCAACTGATTTTAGCTTTGTGGGGCTTAAGATCAGGCCCTGAACAAAGGAAGGCTCTGTTGATTTCATTGATGGTTTTTATAGGGAGAATAAACAGAGTTCAACATAGGAGAATGCCTATAGTCCTTCCATGTATCTGAAATATGTGATTGATATTATTGGATGAAAATAGTGGAGATGAGGATAAGGATTGCATTCTTAAGTTTGATCATGAGAAACACAATTATATATATATATATATATATATCTATATATATAACAGCTCCATAGGGGAGTGATACACAAGTACGGAACTCAAAAACAATGGTGATGTGTATTCACATGGAAAAGAAAGGGAGCAGTCAGTAGAATTAGCAGCATCATGTCATCAAGTAGCTAAATGATCAGGTGTCTTGATATTTACTGTACATATATATCCATATATATCTATATATATATATATATTCGTTATAAAATGTTACTCCCCAATGCCTTGTTGATTTGCATGGATTTTGGTATATTTGGCTGAGATTTGGTGGCAACCAAGTATCGTTACAAAGACAAAAATGCTGGGTTGATCTTGGAAAAATTATTACATGGTCCGAGACTACATGGTTCTGGCCAATCACAACTCGACACACAAGCTAAAATTTGAACAAAACTAACACATTTGCTTGCGTGTTGAGTTGTGATTGGCCGGGTTCATATAGTCCCCAACTATGTAAAATTTTTTTGTGGAATTTGACCCTGTAAACATGTGCCACATTGCTTAAGAGAAGCTAATATATTTTTAGGTGAAGCAAAAAGTATGTTCCACCATCTCTCATTCTCATTTAAAACTTTAGTAAAGAGAAACATATGTTTAGAACCATGCTATATATACTGTAATGAAAAATAATTTTTAAACCGATTTTTCAAACTGATGTGGGTAGTTGAAGAGTTATTAGCTTCAAATAACAATGTTTAAACTACAATATATGGTAGAAAATGTCAACAAATTGTAAACTTTGGGATATATTCAAGTGGAACTCATATCTATGTTTAATGGGGTTAAGCATGATTACTGACTCCGATATATTAGTAAAAAGCAGATAAAAAGTAAAAGGAAATCTAAATAGATTGGCTTGGGTTCGCCAATACAGCAAACACAAGCTCAGATGTGTGAGACCTGTGGGACCCTCAGTCCCTCACATGTATTACAACACTTTTGTGGATCCAAACTTCCCAAAATTGGTAGATATATTATTATTTTCCATTCCATGCCTCGGATACAACTACCATATATATCACCATTACATTTCTCAGCTATCTTGTTTCACAACTACTGCTCCTTTGGTAAAACATCTATTACAAGTACCAATCGCACACCTGTTGCTAAATTTCAATTTTAGGATTTAACTTTGGACAAACTTAAAAAAGAGAAGCTTAAT